TATATATATATATATATATATATATAAATCTTAAGAACGTCTTTGAAACTTAAAATTCAGCAATTTGTCACTAAAAATGTATTTTAAATGATGGTCAGAAATATTAATTTGCACAAAATAATATAATTAAAATATCAAATTAAGTCAATAAAAGTTTATATATATTTATATATATATAACGTATATACTGTATATATTTGTATTGTTAATATATTCTATAGAGTGAGGATTTCAAGTACACGTTAGAAAGTATTACAAAAGCTCAAAATCATTAAATAGACAGCTGATACAAAAATAAACCTTGATCCAGAACAAAAACAAGAACAAACGCTTGTTTTTGTAATGTTCTTGATACTGCAGTTTATTCTCGTTGATATTTTTGCGCATTTAGAAAACAAGAAACAAAATAAAATAAAAAAACAAATTAAAAAAATAACTAAATACCTGCAGATATAATTAAAAGAATTCAATGTTCTATTTAAAACAGAAAACAGCAGTTAAAATTAAGGAAAGATTCTCTCTATTCTTTCTGATCTACCGCATCTCTCAAACCTGGCCAGTTTTGAACAGGTAAGCGACAGGTGCACAAACCACAGGTGAGTCTGAACGCACAATAATTCTCTCATACTGTACAGATGCTGTATGAGAACGAGAAGGACTTCTGCACATTTTCTGGTTAGCCTCAAAGTTAGTTTGTTTGCTTTGTTGCTACAAAATGATGAAATGCAAGATGGATGAAATGTATTTACCTATGCCCAAGAGCACCACGGACGTCAGTGCCAGTACAGACAGCATGATCTCCCTCCGATCTCCCCGCAGGTCAGTATATGAGGGGTTCCGAGAATATATATATATATATATGATATGATTATATCAAATGCATCAATTAAAAAGAAAGCAGAGAATCTTCACAGCAAAACTACCTCCAGTGTAAAATGAATGCAGCCGGTTGGCCAACTTAAAGACTTGCACGGCAAGAAGAACTACACCCACAAGGACCTAATGTTTCTGTTTGCATGGTAATTACACTCTTAAAAATAAAGGTGCTTCACGATGCCATAGAAGAACCTTTTTGTCTAAATGGTTCCATAAAGAACCTTTAACATCTGAAGAACCATTCTGTTTCACAAAAGGTTCTTTGTGGCGAAATAAGGTTCTTCAGATTACAAAAAGGTAAGAAAGAGATGGTTCTTTAAAGAACCTTTGACTGAATGGTTCTTTGTGGAACCAAAAATCAAAATTTTGAAGCACCTTTATTTTTAAGAGTGTATCTCTACAAACCACACAGACACATGGATATTATTCCCAAGGGGTGGGCATGTTTTCATACAGATATGAGTTACACTACCAGTGCAAACACCTTGTAACAGGTTTAGAGAAATGCAATCACACTACATTAATAATATGAGGCTTCATGCTGTAATTGTAAATTAAAATAATTATTAAAAACTTGTGAAACTAAAGCTCTCAAGCAAGCACTGCCTTTTTAATTGTCTTTTCAGATATTCTGGAATATAGACAACAATAAGGCATCCAGTCAAATAAAGTTATGTGATGAAAAAATATTAATCTTTTGATTTGGTTAAAATGCCTTTGTTGGCTGAAGAATGCTTGACTATTCAGAAATAAGTGCAATATTTAAAAAACAAATGACCTAAAACTAAATGTGCAATTAATTTGCTTTTAGATGTAGATTAGTCAATACATTTATTATAAAATGTTCTGTAAATTAGCTTTGTGTGTTTGTCTGTATAGACACAACATCTTATAGAGAAAGTTCACCCAAAAACAAACTTTGTCATTTATTCTCTCATGTTCTTTCATACCTGTGTAACTTTGTCTTTTGCAAAGGAAGAAGAAAAAAAAAAAAGATGTTTAGCAGACTGTACAGGCAACTCTTTTATTTATGATGAATATGGATGGGGGCCTGGGTAAAGAAAAGAGAAGCCTGGACATTCTGCCAAATATCTCTTGTGTGTTCCATGCTATAGTACGCTATATTTATATCTTTTGGGTTAACTATTGCTTTAAATAATTTCTTACACATATCTCTAGAGCAGAAAAAGTGTAGGTGTGTGTTTCTACGCACTGCGATGCCTTCTTTCGCCCCATCTGGACGGTAGTGCCACGAGAAGGTTACGTCTGGAGAAGTCCATTGCCAAGAGAAGAAAGAGCAAGAGAGTCTGACATCTGAGCCCACCAGCGCATGTCTCTCCCAGCTTGTGTACACAACAATAGCCGTGATCTGAGAGGCTGGAGCATACAAACACAGGAAAATTAGCCTACATTTAGACACAAATCTAAAAAAATGAATAAAACCGTAATATTAGAGATGTGAAATGCAAATAATAATAATTAACCTGCAGATATAATTAAAAGAATTCAATGTTCTATTTAAAACAGAAAACAGCAGTTAAAATTAAGGAAAGATTCTCTCTATTCTTTCTGATCTACCGCATCTCTCAAACCTGGCCAGTTTTGAACAGGTAAGCGACAGGTGCACAAACCACAGGTGAGTCTGAACGCACAATAATTCTCTCATACTGTACAGATGCTGTATGAGAACGAGAAGGACTTCTGCACATTTTCTGGTTAGCCTCAAAGTTAGTTTGTTTGCTTTGTTGCTACAAAATGATGAAATGCAAGATGGATGAAATGTATTTACCTATGCCCAAGAGCACCACGGACGTCAGTGCCAGTACAGACAGCATGATCTCCCTCCGATCTCCCCGCAGGTCAGTATATGAGGGGTTCCGAGAGAGTGAGGGATGGAGAAAGGAGAAGAGATAGAGGGAAGAAGGGAATGAGACCAGAGGGCATCAAGATGAGACTATTCAGTCCTGGACTTTATACCCAACCACACCCCAAAGTTAAGCCCCGCCTCCACCACCTCATTATCTCTTGCCCTCTCTTTGGCCCCGTCCCTGACACAATAGTCTCTCTCGCTCCCTCTCTCTGTCTCCTTCTAAAAGACTGTCTATGAACACGATATAGAAAGGACAAGCGATACAATAACCTGAGAATGAATCCTCTCTCTCACTCTTCAACCAGTTAATAAAAGCATCGCAGCATCTGTTTGACAAGGAAAGATTAAATTTGAAGGACAATGACACTGCAGCAATAAAGACAATCTCTGAGTTAGATTATGTTTGGAGTTCAGTGTGTGTGTGTCTGTGGTTTAATACTCTGATACCTCCCTTCTTCTTATCCTGTCACGGTTGAGTGCTGTTTGTCTGTAATCCTTCCTCTCTTATGCTGATGATTCGGCTCTATAAACAAAACATACCCTGAGAAGCCGCTGGTCTGAAACCACAATGAGCTGCAGGTCTTTTCCATCTCACCTGTCCTGACCCGGTCGCCATCTGCCTGCCACTCACATTCACCGTAACAGGAAGGACGATGGATAGAAAGGTGACGGGCGTAATTTATGTGCCGCCAGCATCACAAAATAATGTAATATTGTTTTCCAAACAGGTTTCCTGACCATTCCCCCGTCTTCCATTATTCGGCCAAACAGGTTTTTATGCCCCATATTCAAGACAAATGGTTGAGCCAATGTTGCCAGAGCAATGTTTTGATGTGCCATGGTGTTTACACTATCGGAGGAATCAACCTACCTTAATTTGCATATTAAACTGGACCAACACTTCATCTTTAACCCTATAAAGCCTACTGTATTATATTTGATATATGAATCCCTAAGACCTCTAAATTATCAGCATGATCAAAGCTACTGTTGAACACAATCTACTACATGCCTTCTGTCATTTGATTGCTAGTTTATACTCTTTTAGTAAGTAAAACGGCTTCTAGTATAATTGTAAAAATGTTACTTTTTTCTGTAAAATCTATAATGATTTTAATAAAGTAAACCTAAGATTACTTTTTATATTTTTATTAATATTGCAAGAAGAATATTTACTGGACTGGAGCAACTTATAGGTTTATCTGATTATATATCATCAGTACATAATGTTTTAGAAAAATTGTTAAAACTATCAAATATGATAAAACAGGCTTTGAAGAACATTTATTTGTACATCTTTCGATCATCATTGTATTGTATTTGCATTATAGTTTTCCAAACAATGAAAACTTTTGATCATAAAACTAAGCATTTTAATATCATCTTAATAATGTATAATATTGGGAAATATAGAGTGACAACTAATATTGATATGAATTTGCTGTACTCTTCTCAGTTATTTATATTAAAGGTATTACAATTTTCATTTTCACTTTTTGGCCACATAAAAACAACATCTGCAAACAATACCAAATTGCATATTTATGAAAAAATGGAGGTGCTTCTTCCCTCCTCAAGTATGAGCTCAATATTCTATTATATGTGCCATAAAAGCCTGATGTATCAAATATGTTTAAAAAAAAATTACATTTAATGTATCAAAACATTTAAAAATCGTATATATTTTTGTCTTTAAAAATGTCAGGTTAATACGTAAGGCTTTACAGGTTTAAAGGGATAGTTCGCCCAAAAATTTAAATTCTGTAATTATTTAATCACCATCATTTTGTTTTGGTTACCATTTACTTCAATTTTATAGACAAAAAAAAGCTCAAAATATCTTCTTTCATTTATCACATAAGTCAAAAAGTCAGTTTGGAAAAAAGTTTGGAATGACATAATTATTACATATTTTTTCAATTTTTGCATTTAAATGTATGCATTTAGCAGGCACGTTTATCTGCCTTTGTTACATTGCATTCAAGATATCCATCTTTTCAGTTCATGTATTCCCTGGTATCTGAACCCATGACTTTGGCATTGTTTGTGCTACACTCTTTCCCTTTAACAACAAACAAGTTAAATGAATGCATGTTGACAACAATATCACATCAAGGAGAAAAGAAAGACAGGGAGAGAGAGAAAGTCACCTCTTGACCCCGTTTCTCCTCTCGCTGCCCTTTCACCAGGACACATTTATGGGATGAGACAAAGACATCTCTTTCTTCATCCTTCTCTTTTTCCATTTCTCCCTCTCTTCAGATTCCTCTCCTCTGCTGACGTCTTCCAGACACAACAATACAGAGAGAGAGAGACAGACAGAAAGACATGGGGTGAGCGGGCGGGCCTAATTTAGAGCTGCTTTCTGTCTCTTCCACCATCATTGTGTCTGTAGACAAAGGTTTGCATTCTTTTCCTCCTCCAGTCTCTCACCCACTCCTCTTATTCCAGTAAAATGGCATTAAAACGGACAGAACATATTAGAGAGGGAGACATAAACACGAGTTGATATAAGGACACTAGCATAGCGATTTAATAAAAGTGACAATTTTGAAGGAGAATCGGGTATCTTTTGAATGTACAGTGAAGATCACAAATTTCAAACTTTGGTCTCCAATAAGATGGCGTGCTCACCTTTCCTTCATAAACAGCAAAACCACATTAGTTGACCGGCTCAACTGATTCATTATATTCAGCAGCAAAGCTTTTCCTGCTGGAAAAAAAAAAGTTAAACCAGTTCAGCTAAAAGCATCTTATTAGTTTTAGATACACTACCATTTAAAAGTTTAGAGTCTGTACATTTTTAAAAGACATTTTTGAAAGAAGTTTCTTTTGCTCACCAAGGCTGCATTTATTTGATTAAAAAAAAGCAATATTGTAAAAACGTATTACAATTTTAAATAAGTGTTTATTATTTGAATATATTTTAAAATGTAATTTATTCCTGGGATGTAAAGCTAAATTTTCAGCATCATTACGCAATCTCCAGTGTCACGTGATCCTTCAGAAGTCTTGCCATTCTTTCTTATTATTATCAATGTTGAAATCAGTTTAATATTGCTTAATATTATTGTGGAAAGCATCATTCTTTTTTACAGGATACTTTGATGAAATTTCAACATTTATTTGAAAGATATATGTATTTGTAACTATTTAAAAGTCTGTCACTTTTAATCAATTTAATGTGTCCACACTGAATAAAAGTAAGAATTTCTTTCAAAATAAATAATCTGAGCCAAAACCTTTCAGTAGTAGTGCATATATCAAAGTATCACTAAGATATGGTACAGTAGTTTTCGATATGAGTTTATAGGAGAATAACTAGTTTGACTGTTTTGCTGCTAAGCAAGCTAACAGGCTAGATAATAAAGTAAAAATAAATATATGCACATTATAAATGCAACTAATGACAGTTTACTCAACTTGAGAAATGTAATAATACACACTGGTCAGTATATCAGCTAACAAAAGCAGCCGAATATGACGTTCTAGTTGGTTTCCAAGGTTACGGGTCCCTTCTCCCCTTCTTTTTTTTCAGTTCAGATCTACAAGGACTGTGAACCTTTACTTCAGCAAATATGCCAGTTTAGGCATTTTTGGCCAATTTTTTATAATCCTGGGGGAGATACAACTACAAACATACGGACAAATAAGAATACATAACTCAAAGATGAGAACGCATAAACAAGGCGATGCAATTGAGTTTACGCTAATGCAAGTATATTAGACATCTGTTGCATACGGATGGAAATCAATGAGCATGACCACAGTATTGACATTGGGTTTGACTTTGACAGCAAGACCAATCAAAATGCACCATCAGCTGAATCCCAAATGAGAGCTACTGGAACACACAGTCTTGAGTGACAGCTGTAGAATGAGCACAGGGAAAGAAAGACAGGCTGGTGAAAAACCTGCAAAAGAGAGAAAATTGAGAAAAGATAAGAAATGACTGTATGTGAAGCAAAAAAGCTGCAGTGTATACATGAGAATAAACCACTGAAGTGTAGACTAATGTGAAATGGAATTGAAATGATTGCATATCTACTTTATATACTGCTGAAAGTGTCTTTACAAATAACTGTAAAAATATGCAAAAACACCTTAAAGATTTGGCTGGGAGCTTTGAAGGGAAGGTCATTTTATGTCAACCATACCGAAATATTATCACTGCTTATATGTTAGTGTTTTAATGGTATCCATATACACATGCTGTGCTAATCATGTCTGTGGTTTAACAAGATCTCAAACTGGATCAAATAAGATCATTTTAATGGCCGTCAAAGTTACAAGTGACATCAGAGAATATTTTAATACATAAACTGTAATATAGCCTATTCTTTATATTATCACCCTTATATCACAATGTCCCAAAATAGAGACATACATAGTGCATAGCAAAAAATAAAATAAAAATAAAATTAAAGCTATGTGACATCAAACACATGCCTACTAGCAACAAAGGTGATAGGTAAAATAAAAATAAAATAAAAACTTTAGGCCTGTTAGCACTAATATCAGATATTAAATATGTTAAGTGTAATATATTCTTCTTATCTTCACAAACAGCATAAATGGACCATTATACACAAAAATATGTAGCTTCTTATATATTAAGGGAATCATTATATTTGGTAGTCCTTGACAATGAAAAGTTAGAAAAGCCATTATTTAACACACTAAAACGTAAGACAATGTTCACAGTCATGCCACTAATGACATCACACACATCCGCTGAAAATAATCAGAGTGATACGTTAGAGTCTCACAATGCATAAACTGTCCTAAAAGAGCCTCAAAACAAATGCCGAGTATTTTGGGAAACCAAAACGAATCCATCAGAGCACACAAAGAACATACAGAGATCCAGAGTATAATAAGGCACGGCAAATTAAAAATATAAAAAAAACTATAGTATCTAATGACACTAAACTGACAAGAAAGTCAAAATACAGTTTGTTTGTTTCAAATTTAAACAATGCTTTATTATTTTAAAT